GGGGGGGGAGACGGGCAGGCCAGCTCAAATGTGTCACACAAGTGCTGCTGCTCTCTAGTCACCAGACCACCGAAAGGAGGGATCCAGAAGAGTTTCTTGACCAGTGGATGGTGACAGGTTTGTTTCTCGTCAGCACCATTTCTTCCAGTAAAAAAAGGAGGGATACGGAGGGTTGTGCTGTGTGGTTGTTGACAGCGACGGGTTTCTTTTGTTTAATGAGGCAACCCAGATGCAGGCCTGAATTCACAATAGTTACTACTGAAAACCAGTGCAGCCTCTCAGTTACTCTCCCGGAAACAAATAGAAACCTTTTGTTTAAAACGGACAGCATTTTAATATCTTTGGGATCTAGGCTAGAAGGAAAACGGGAAGTGTAGAGCAAAAATTTGCCTTCAGTCTCTAAAACAAACAAACAAACAAACAAACCCAACAACAACCCAGCGTTCTGTCTTCACACAAAGTTATCAAGAAAATGCCATTTCTCAAAGAGGAATTCTATTGATTATTATCTTTCAGAGACTGTTCAGAATCAAGGATCAGGGTGCACATAGGAGCCAGCGTGACCTAACTCTGAGCTATGGTGGTAGGAAGAATAAACAGCTTTGCAGTAACAGGCCTGAAAAATGCCTGCACTTGTGTTCAAGATATTTGCGTGTATAATAAATGTTCCTCAGACATGTCTGGAAGAAAGAAAAATTGTGCTGTCAATTCAGATTGAAGAAGCATGCGTTTTATTTCTTAAGCATTCCATCTCCTGGTTCAAGGAACCAGTTGCCTTTGGGACTGAACTGCTTGGGTACTGGATCACTTACAAGAGGGAACAAAATATAATCATTACAGACAGTTACAAATGGTTAATTTACATGTCATGCTTTATGTCTTGAAACCAGATTAGATAAATGTATACTTGTTTGTAAAGAACAGAAGGCAGAGCATTGGATAAAAGAGGTGGGCTTTAGGGAACGAAGCCAGGGGAGTGGGAAACTGCATTTGGAATATTAAGATTAAAAAAAATGTTTTTTTTTCTCATTTTGGGCTACTTCTAATGGCTGAATAATGTGTGATTGAATTTGTTGCAAATTCTCAAGATTGGGAAAAATAGGGGAAGACAAATACGCATAGAGTGTACAAGTGCACGATTAAGGGAAAAAGCATGTGTTTTAGAGAGACTTCAGAAGGGATTTTCTTTTGCCCTGTTTACAGTCTTTGTTTATGTTTAGCTGTGAATACAGCATTTGAGATCTCTCAAGCCATCCCTATTTCCTGAAATGTGACAGCTCTAGGTGCCAGCAGCTGGAATTAGAACGCACGGGGTTTGTCTGTTGGAAGGCCTAGGTTAGATTATCTAGGAGGAAGACTTTGAGGGAAATACACATATACGGACATAATTACATACTGTGTATTGAAATAACATGATGTTTTAAAAATGCACTTGGAGATAATTTTATGAGAAAAAAAATTAACAGTTTTCCTACTAAAGTGGTAGTAATGGGGAACTTGGTCTCTTTTTAGATATTTGAGTAGGATTTAATACAGCCTTGTGCCAGCCCCCAAGTATGGCCTATCAGAAGGAGTGGAAAATCTGACATTAATTTAGCACCTACATTCATTAGTAACATTCAAAAATTGTACAACTTTTTGTTAGGAACATGATCCCTAGGCATCACATACTATTTCTTACAGCTTTGTGATCTAGATATGTTGCTTTTGTAGCGGAAGGAGTGTGATACCTACACTATTTCTACAGTAAATACTCTCTCCTAAATGTAGGGGTGTGTGTATGTGTGTGTGTTGTGTGTGTGGGCTTCTGATTTCACAGTTTTTTGAGTCCAGGAGGAAGATAATGGTTGACTTGAACCAGATATCTGGGAGGGCTTCTGTTTGAGGAGCTGCTCTTGGATCAGCTGCTTTGATGAGTTCACTGAAGCTTCCTTTTCCGACCTGTCCAAAGGAGGCTACGGGTTTTATCCTTACACAGTTTAAAGATTAACTGATGTTTTTAACTACCTTATTTAAACCGAGGGTTCACTCTTATATTTAAATGGCATTCAGTATAAGATTATTGTCAAAGTAAATTTCAGTTTAAGACATGACACCATGTTAGTGGAAATGGATTTATTTGGCAGGTGATCTTTGCATTGTTCACATAATTATTTTATGTGTTAGCGTAAAGAATTAGGGAACTGCCTAAATGAAAGTATAGCAGTAAAATTGGAATCATTTTTGATACTTACACAGCAATTATGACAATGTATTTTCCAATTCTGTACTAATATATTTTGATTTTTTATTCTTTTTTTAAATGAACCCAGAAACTTACCACCATAAAACACCATATTTAGTTCTGAGAACATTTTAACTTGGTTGAAGTTTTATATGCTTTATAGGTATAAAGTATATTTTATTTCCTCTAATTGATCAGTATTAATACTAACTAAATATTTATTTAAATAAATTTTTTTAACATTTATTTATTTTTGAGAGACAGAGAACAAGCAGGGGAGGGGCAGAGAGAGAGGGAGACACAGAATTTGAAGCAGGCTCCAGGCTCTGAGCTGTCAGCATAGACCCTAATGAGAGGCTCGAACACATGAACTGTGAGATCATGACCTGAGCCAAAGTTGGACGCTTAACTGACTGAGCCACCCAGGCGCCCCTAAATATTTCTATTTGTAGTACATAGGTCACACTATTGAATATTAATGTGTCTTTAAGTCTGTGTATAACAAATGGCTTTGAATCCCTGCATTCAGTCACAGATATTCATGCAGAAAATTTTTTTAGTTCCTTGAAAATATATCTTTTCCCTCTTAAATCTGTTCTTACTTTACATGTTTTTAAAATCTTTACTCTTTAGATAATCATCAAATGGGAAGATTTAGCAAACCTTTTTAATTGATTGAATTCCACCTATTGAAAATAGGCAGAGTTTAGGCCAGTCTTACATGGAAGAATGTATATTCTTTATCTTCTAACTGAATTACATATATGATTGTAGATTTTCTTCCTCTTCTAGGCCAGTGGCTTATGAGGTTAGTGATTGTGTCTGTACTGGTCACTATGATAGTCCAACTTCTAGCACAATACCTAACTCATAGAATGCTCTCAATAAATGTTTGTTGAGTGAGTACATTTATTTATGATCCCCTCCCCCGACAAATTGGGAGCATAAAGTAATGAATAAATTATGGAAACACAGGGATATGTAATGCTTTTAATCTGTGGCAGATAAAATCATGATCTTTAAACAATTGAATGTAACTCTTTGAGCCTGTTGGATGTAAGTGCATTCCAGGACAGAAAGTGTTAATGTAAGTTGTTACATCACACATTGAACCAGTGTATTACAGTTCTGTGCTGGATGAATTTGGGAATGGTAACAGTCATGCTTAAAGTATGAAAGTTTAAAAGAAAAAAAAACCATTCGATATCTTGCTTACTTTTTATCGTGTAGAAGCTAATTTAACCCTGTCATCTTCTGGTCATACACTTTCCCCATGATATACTCAACAGAGTGAATTTTAAATTCTCCAGCATACAGGTGACAGATTTTTGTGATTTATCTGTACAGTTAAATGAGAACCACAATGATCAAATACAGAGTTTTAAGAGTTGTATATGGAGGGCACCTGGGGGGCTCAGTGGGTTAAGCATCTGACTCTTGATTTCGGCTCAGGTCATAATCTTACAGTTTATGTGTTCAAGCCCCATGTCAGGCTCTGTGCTGACAGTGTGGAGCCTGCTAGGGACCTTCTTTCTCTCTCTCTCTCTGTCTCTCTCTCTCTCTCTCTCTCTCTCTCTCTCTCTCTGTGTCTCTCTCTGTCTCTCTGCACCCCTCCCCCATGCACTTGTGCTCTCTCAGAAAATCAATAAAGTTAAAAAGATGGACAAACATGAAAAAAATTAAAAAAGAATGGCAGATGGAATATTTTTAATTGAGAGGTATATATTTGTACTGAAAACTGTACAGTTACAGAGCAAGAAGGCTGGGAATTGCCTGGCAGATTTAGATTGTATGGAGAGTTCATTCGTGTGGGCGTGGATAAAAGCGCCTGCCCCACGACCCCTCTGTAGAGTTCACTGGAGAAGAATGGGGATGTTGATGGTCTGAGTTAACCTAGAAGTTAGTGGCTGTCTAGGACGGCCCATCAGAACCAGGGAAGGCAAGGATCCCTGTACGCAGCCCTAATGACAGCATCTCCCTGGAAATACCAAACGATGGTGTTCATGAGGCTGCTTTAAAACCAACCAGTTTTATTTTTGTTACTCTTTTTGCTTCCAAGTGTTAAATATGTTTCTAAATGTCAGGATTTATTTGGATGCATTTCCTCTTTTTCTTTCTGGTTTTTTGTTTTTGTTGTTGTTTGAAACACGGGACTTATAGTTTCTATCCGAAGGGTGGAGTGTTAGCATCCCTCATAAGAATCAGAATTGTAGCTCTGACTACAGCAAAGCCTTCAGAGTATGGTTTTTGCTTTGAGCCACGTAGATCCATTGTCTAGATCTGCCGTGGAACTCATCCATCTGCTTACATGTCACTTCTTCCTATGGGAGCTTTGGCACATGTTAAAACCATGCTGAACAGTGAAGTCATCCCCTATATATCGATTCAGATTTTTTTAGGTAAATTTAGAAAGGAGAACCAGAAGAATAATTTAGTGGCCATTTTGTTTATTACAAATAAATTTGATAGCCTCCTTCTCATTAAAAAACAACAACAATAACAACAACACAGCTCCACTTTATAGGAGATGGTTTATATTCGATTTTGTAGGTGCCTATTCAATATAGTTATGATTTTTATTACAGATGAATTTTTAAGGACCTGAAACAGCTTTCACAGTTGTGTGGCTGCGTGCTATGCTAAACTTAGCAGAAAAAAGGAACAGATTTTTCTTCATGATCCAGGCGAACTTACACTTGAGAAGAAATGAACTAGATTTTCCAAGGATGATTTTGATTCCAGCATTCATGTTAATTTTTCTTTAAGGGGAGGTTATTAGTTCTGTTGACATTAATGGAAATGTTGATTGGGTGTTGTAGAGGAAAAGCAGGGAACTCAAATGGTACATCTTGGGAGAGAGAAGCCATTTTAAGAAGGTTAGGATTGCTTTCTT